AGCAATCCGTCTTGAGAAAAAGAAAATTAGTGATTGATCCTATTGCTTAGCAGATTTCTTGCATATTGAAATATACCACGCACAGTTGTATCATGGAAGAAATATTATTACCAGGAATTTCCAGATGTTTTCAGCGGTTTTTGGTGATTTGGTTCAGGTCCCTCAAACTCATTGTAGCAACTCATAGTTCAGCATTATTGTTCACTGATGTTAATCTTTGATTTTAATTTGTGTCCCAAAAAATCAAAGAATGCAAGATGAGAGGAGCCTCGTCCGTTTCAGAAGTGGTGGGGTTCTCTAGCAACTACCAAGGCAGAAAAAGCACTCACATAGTCACATGTGCCCGTGACCGTGTCTAGTGTGCGTGCGTGCGTGCGTTTGAACAACAAAGAAAGAAAAAAAAAACAAAAGAAAAAGGAGAGAAGGAAGACAAACTTCCGTATAGTTTGGCGGGCCAGCCCAAATCCAGGCCCGACCGCGCAAACAAAGGCTACGTCGTGGAAGCGTCGCGTGAAGTGCGGCTGTGGGGTGTGTGGGCCAAGAGGCGAACATTTTGGGCTTTTGGCCCCGTGGACGGGAGCGCGGCGGCTGGTGGCCGCCGGCGGTCCCGATGGACGTCGCACGGTCCCAGGCTCCCAGCTCTCGCTCAACTGAGAAGCTGTATCCACGGTGCACGGAGCGTTCTCAGGGCCGCCGGCGCTGAATCGATTGTTCCGTTTGTTACACGACGCCGCCCGTGCCTGCTGCAGCAAACCACGGCACGATTACCATGGACGAGCATGAAGGACGCCAATGCAAGTGCGGGCGTGCAGGAAAGTCGCGACAACGTACTTCCTCCCTTCTAAATCATATAACTTAATTAGATTATGATATACATCTATACTATGTCTAGTTATGTAATAAAAATAATATGTATTTACAAAAAAAATCAAAATAGTTTACAATTTTGAACGAAATGAGCTGGGACCCTCGATCGACGCCGGCGCACGTTGGAATGGTTGGTTGGACCACGGCAACAGCATGGATTGGAATTGAAATGGATAGACATGTGTGCCTTCTAGTTCTAGGTCGTCCGCTAGAAACCAGCAGACGCAGTGCACAGTGAGAGTACATGCATCTTTGTTAACAAATTAAAATCTTCTAAGGCCCTATTTAGTTCCCAAAAATTTTCATCTCAAAGTGTCACATCGAATCTTACGGCACATGCACGGAGCATTAAATGTAAACGAAAAAAAACTAATTATACAGTTGGGTGAGAAATCGCGAGACGAAACTTTCGAACTTAATTAGTCCATAATTAGATATTAATTGCTAAAAACAAACGAAAGTGCTACAGTAGCCAAACCCAAAATTTTTCGCGAACTAAACGCGCCCTAAGCACAATGGCGCCGTTCGCTGGTCTGATTTTTTCAGACCAGCCGGCTGGTTCCTCTTACAAATCACTATGCATCTTTCAGTAGCTACAGTATTTCTCTCTCACATAACCAGTCAGTTTCAACCATGTTTCAGACCAGCAAACGAGGCCAATGTCAAACTCTTTTTTTTTTCTTTGCTTCACCAGGTTCCATGCATGCTTGCTACAACACGTGGAGTACGGAGTACTCCGTATCTTTTGCTGGAAGCTCCGGGGGCCGATTGGATCTCCGGATGGAGTACGTCCGGAAGCACAGTTCCGTCACGACGCTCCGTGCGGTTTGAAGTTTTGGACCGTACGGCAAATGGCAAATGGCGTGAACAGTGGCGCGGCCCCACCCCATCACGACGGCTCGCGGCGCTTGAGCTGAAAGCCCGCGCGCCATGTGCCGTGCTAGCTTGTCCCTGTCTGCACCGCACATGGCAGAGGGCAGACCACAGTGCGTGCATGCACCCCCGAGCCCACACAGTGACTAACAACGAATTCGAACAATACTTTTTTTAGCAAAGCGAACCGAACCATGGTACTGAACTTGCACTATATACTACAGTACTGTATTGCTCATCAAGCAATCCCACGTTGCAGCACAGCTCCGACGTAATATATAATATAACACAACACATATTTACAATGGGATATATATGCCCATATATGGGACGCATCTCGTCCTTGACACGTAATGGCGTAAAAGAATATACGAAGTAGACTATCGAGCCATGGAGCTGTTGTTGGCACATGCCAGACTCCATCGAAAGTTGAAGCTTGAAGCTGTGTACGTATCGGAAGGTCGCCACTCGCCGGCAGGAGCATGAACGAACCCCACAGGTCGACTACTACTACTCTCTTGGTTGTTTAAACAATGCAATCGCCATGTGATGAAATGAACCTGAACCTGAATGAACAAGAAAAAGGGATGATAATCTGATATATACCATGTTCACTTGGCTGATAAGTATTGTTGATTGATTTGTTGTGGAAGAAAAATACTATTCATTTATAAAAAAATATAACTTATAAGCCAAGCCAGGAGACTACGTTACCAGCGAACTGGAAAGATGCCGGCCGGGCGGCCGGCCGGGGCCAAGAAACCGAGATATTCCTGCGTGCTGCCCATGCACGCATGTTGGTTACCAGGCCATCGTGCGGTGCGGTCGTGGCGTCGTGCCCCATGCTCCAGTCCCAAGCTAACACCACTGAGAATTCTTCGATGGAGCAGTTGTTTACAAACCCATGTCCATTGACCACGCGACATGACAAAAATTTTAAATTTGGCGCGCCTCCCTCGGCGTCAAAAGCTTCCGTCCCCGTCCACGGTCCATGGGCGACTGTTTCCAACGGAGCGGAGCAGACCTCCCTGCCTGCTGAAAACATTTGCCTAGCAGAACCTCTGTTTCAAACTTACAACGCATATGAAAATGAAACTACGAATTTGAATATTTTCAGAGAATTTGGCATGGAACAGTGAGGTTACCTATACGGAGTACTGCACAACTTGGCCACAACTTGTGCTGCTTACGAGGCAATGACAGGCGTGCATGTTCGGTACCAGCTCGTTCGGTGGGTTTCGGGGACCAAAGATTTGGATCGGATGGCTCTCACTCACAGTTACAGTACTGGTCCAGGTCCATGCAAAGCCATGCGGTGCATCCCCGTTTCACCATTCACCGTTAAGGCATGCATCCCCGTTTCGTGCCTTGGGCCAGATGTTTTGATTAAGGGCTTAAAGTTTAGTCCGTGCCATATCAAACATTCGAATGCTAATTAGAAAAACTAAACATGAGCTAATTATAAAACTAATTACATAAAAATAGACTAATTAACCAGACGTACCTACTAAACCTCAATCTATGTAATTAATTTTATAATTAATTTATATTTAATACTGCTAACTAGTATCAAAGATTTAACATGACTGAGCTAAACTTTACTGCGGTAGAAACCAACACCGTTAGATGGGGGCATGGGGCCACTACTAGTACTCAGTACGACCAAGAACGCTCCCATCCTGAAAACCAGGGCACCATGTTCCCTGAACCAGCGGACGGTACGCAGTTTTTTTTTTTTTCCACAAAGAAATTAGAGAAAAGTTTGGCTTATGGACGACTTTACATTGCATGGTTTAGTTTTGGTTGGTCATGCGCGTCACGCAAAGAAACGAGTGACACACAGGCCAACCCACAACACAACACATGCACGCTTAGCAGGAGTTGTTTACTGCACTTGTCTGAATCCCTGAACTATTTATATGCAATGGTAGATTCATTCGTGTAGACCTCAGCTCACTCACGTAACCTTTTTTTTTTTACGAAATTCAGTCAAAGAACCAATGATCAAAGGCGCAGAAACTTTCCACAAGAAACAATCAAAAGCTGGAGAAAAAGGTTTGAAAAACCAACAGCAGCAGCGAGCAAAAGGGTTCTGAACTCTCAAGTCCTGCTACTATAGTATAGGAACGAACAAGTCGATTTTATTTTCTTCTTCATTACATCAATTTTTGGCTGGCAATGTGCAGTGGCAGCAGCAATCTTTTGAACCTAGTTGGGCCAAACGAACGTCTTTCTACAACGGGGTCTAAACGTGACGAACAAGTCGATGGCTGGCAGTGCAGTGGCAGCAGCAAGTTGGGCCGGCGAGGTGGGGTCGCGTGTCCGTCCCCCGGGCTTTTTCGTCCCCCCACGCAGTTTCTAAACAACTTGCCGCTGCCTTTTCTTCTTATATTCCAACGCGTTGCGTTAGCTGTCAGGAAGAGGAAGAATCCGTCCTCCCTATTTCTCACATGTGCTCCATCTCCATCGGTGCTCCTGCCTTTTGATTAAAGAATCCGGCATCAGGGACAAGTCATGCCCGTGTGCTGCCTACCATGGCTGTATCTATCTGCATGATCATTAGGTGAATCAAGAAGGTAAAACTGTCTCATAAGTCATATCAAGTTCACTTTCTTTACAGACTCAAATGTCGCACGGATCGATTGTGTGGGTAATATGTTCTTTTTTTTGGCAGCAAACTGTATAGTTGGAGGCGCAAGCAAGAAACAGAGACAGATTCTCATGAATTGGTTGTAGTTTTACAACCTAGATTGCTCCAGTTATTACCATAAACTACCAAAGACTTGCAGCAGCAGGAACATAACAAGAATCCAAACAAACCTGGGTTTGCGAAGCCATGTGATCAGAAAACAACAACAATACAATGAGGATATACTCAGGATCCATTACAATCACTTGTTCTGCATACATCAAGGCTAGAGCCAAACGATCTGGCTTTTAGAAAATACATATACTTCTCTTTGTGCTATCATTTTCCTTAGCATGGCCAATTCAGAGTCGGGCGTGTGTTAAGCACCCCCCCCCAAAAACTTATCTCGGACTCCCGGTGATGGTCATGACTGGCTGGCTACTTTTCTTTACATCCAGAACTATGTGACAAGAGGGCGTCGAACCACGACCTAAACAGAACACTAAAACACGATAACGAGAGAATATTTTTGGTTTCGGTACTCGATCTAGTGGCAAAGCAAATCTCAGATCATTCTGCAGAAGGCTTGGTGAGGTTGCTGTGCCGTCTTATTTGTCTGTGTTGCTGTGTACTAGCTCAGGCTCAGATTGGACTTCACGGCATTCGGTCCCAGTCCAAGCCATGGCTGGCTCTCGGGCTCCTTCTTCACTGGTGCCGCATCAGAAGGAGAAGTTTGATATGGTGCCTTTGCATTGAGACTGAAGAAGAATAAAAGGGCACAAATTAGTTCCAAATACAACACTGAAAAAAAATCGCCATAATGAAAGTAACAATCACCACAACCACAACTTACCGATCCTTTCTCTTCTCAAGGAAGCGGTGAAGAGACACCTTCCTCATAATAGGCATATCTACAAAAGAAAAGACATGTTTCGATCAATAATCGGAAAATAACAAAGTTCACCAATCATATTTTAAAACTTCAACTAAGTAAGAACAGAAGCAGAGGGAGGAGTATTTACCAGAAGCATTTGTGCGAGCAGGCTTCTTAGCATCAGCCTGAGCAGCAGGCAAGCTGATGACCGGGGCCGGCACTGCCTTGTCGGTGATAGCAGTAGGTGCAGAAGGTTGAGGCAAAACAACGTTCTGTACCACAGGGCTGCCCTTGCTGGCCAGCTGCATCAGGTCCTTTGCCTTGTCAGCAGGGAAATCATCAAACACCAGCACCTTCCCGCCATAGAAGATTGTGAGCTGCTTAGGCTTTTCTTTATTTTCTTGCTCCCTGACAAATATTACAGAGAAGAACACTGAGAACAACGGTGCTTGTAGAACACTACTTCAGCTTAGCAAATCGATTGTCTACTCTCTTTTCCTTTCTCTTGGTTAAAAGACCAGCCTGTTCATTTGTTGGTTTCAGCCAGGGCTTATCCGCCATGGTACAGTATTTTTATCTCACAACAAATCAGCACCAGCCGGGCTTATCACATGGATGGCAGGGTTCCATCTCAGATTAACCCCTCCTATGTTGTTACCAGCAAGGTAGTTAATGATAAACATTAGGTACAATCTAAACAACTCTGAGCATGTCGGTTGCTTTGTCTGATAAAAGGAAACGTTTTATTGCTTCTTACAGAAGACACTTAAAGACTACTCCTACAAAGATACAGTTTTGACCAGGGAATATCACAGAAACCGAACTACAAGGATGCTTTACACACGGGTCTGTCATTTACCATCCGGGTCAACTAGATTTCAGACCACCTTATAACATGTTTCACCTATGAACACTCATTAAACTCAGATTACTACGTTTCCAAAGTCAAATTGTTTGGCCTTTTGTCCATGAGACCTAACACAGCTAGGTTCGAGTTCTACTACTACCAAACAACTGTCGCGCGAACCAGAATCGAAATGGATTTATAAATGATGTAAAGCAGCAGTACGCACCTAGGGGCAGCAGCATCCTTGACGCCGAACCCGGCGCTCTGCGGGAACAGCTCCATGGTCTCCTTCCTCCTCTCGGCCTCCTCGCCCTCCGTTCCGGGGAGCAAGTTAATTGTCGCCGGCGTCCTCTGCTGCTCGACCTCGCCTGAGAAGAAAAAAAACAAAGCCGGATAAGGGAGTGCGAAATTCGAAGCCCGAAAACGAGGTTTCCAAACCGGATAACCAAGGCCCCGCCCAGATCTCACAACACGCCCCCCACAGGAATCGAAACTGGACCCCCCAGATTTCGAAATCTCCCCCTACACTCAGAACTACAGGAGGAGCCAGGTCTCACAACAGGGCAGACCCGGCCCGCCGACGCCGCCGGATTCCGGTGCTCACCTTTGATCCCGAGGCCTAGCTCGGCGGCCGCGGCGCCGTTCTGGCGGACGAAGCGGCTGAGGAGGCTGCACGCGACGGCGAAGCTGGTCGCCCTCTCCCCTGGCCTCGCGGACGCCGCCATCGCCGGTTGTCTCTCTCACCCCCAACCCCAGCCGGTCAAGCACAAATCTCCGCGCCGCCGGCTCCAACTCCTCCGCCCAGGACGTCGTGCGCTGCTCCTCGCACTCGCAGGCTGCAGCGGTGGTTAGCCTCCCTTCTCTCTCTGGCTCGTGAGCGCGGGCCTCGTGTGAGCACGCCGCGCCCCCACGCTCTTATAAAGGACCCCGCGGTTTCCACCCAAATCCCGCGATTAAAAGCCCAAGGGAATCGATCGCTCGAAATTGTTTATCCTCGTTTTCGCTGGCGGAGGAGGGAGGGTGAGTAATTTAATTTATTTTAATGGCGTGGGGGGGCGGGGGTGGGGCCCGCCATGAATGCTTCGAGAGAAAAACGCGCACGTGCTTCGTGTGGGGAAGGGGCAGGACAGGAGAGGGGTGGAGGTGGAGAGGAAAAAAAGGTTTTCCTTTTGGGACGTTGCGTCCGCCGAGCGCTCGCTTCCGACGGGACGGGTGGGGCCCGCGCGCCCATGTGCGCGCCTCTCCTGCGTCCGCGCGCGCGGTGGTGGCCTCGTGATCGCGGGTGGGCCGCGCCGAGCGGGGTCGATTGGACTGCTCGGTAACAGGAGTTGCTGCTGGTGCTGGGTCAGGGTTGGGCCGGGCTCGCTCGCTTTGACTAGACCCTGTGCCGTGTGTTGCTGTTTGATGGGGACGGGTTAGGCTCAGCAGATTACTGCGTCTTGTCTGGTGAAATTCGTCTCTTGTCTGGTGTCACAAAAATAAAATCACCATGAAACTTCCTGCTGTCTTCCTAGCCACCATCCTTTTCACCCTATCTTCGTCTCTTGTCTGGTGAAATTCGTCTGTATCTGTCCCAGCTTGATTTTCCTCTTCTTTAAATGCTATATATCTTTATTAAAGGTGCTTAAATAGATTGCAGTTGCAGAGGAAAAATTTACAGGTTGCAATTCGACCAAGCTTATGTACTGTATCATCTATCATCCAGTGTGCTCATGCAGTATGTACCGTACAATACCGTCCCCTGAGATTTGAAAAGGCTATTTAGCCAGTTCTTGCAAGCATTATATATTGATTGACAGGAATTCATAGATCTATTTTACATCATCTTTGCTAATACATTCCTTCGTAGCGTCCGGTGTGGTTTGTGCTTGTGGGGTCATGTAGCATGTCTGTGTTGACCGTTGATTGATCCACAAGCAGCTGTGATCTCCGTATATAAATTGTGCTAAAAGGGAAGCGAAGTACCGAGTGTTCGAGAGTGATGCTCCAAAGCCTCCAATCTGGTTTGTGTGCTCCTGGTTTCAAAAATTACCGAGGATTTAGGATTTCCAAGTAGCCGTTGTAATGCTAATCTCTGTAAAAGTTTTAATCCAAGGCTCACATAGGTTGTCGTACATGTCTATGCATGGGAGATAAAAAAAACTATAGTATATATATATATTGAAAGTTTATTTAACAATACCCTAATAATTATAGTAGGCGAATTTTGCTCATAAACACACAGTTGTTGTATGTTATTAGCTAATACACACCGCCAACGCTCGGTTCCATCCTCTATCGTTCATTTCTTCGGTAATGGGAGATAGCAGAGTGTGTGAATAAACCAAATTGCCCCTAACACTTAACTCAACTGCATATTCCAAATGAAGCCACATCAACAAGATAGACCTAACCTTATTCGTTCATCCTCCTCCTCCTGTCCCCCCTCCCTCTGACCTCTATTTCTCATCTGATAAAGGAGAGGAGTGAACCGAGGCGACGAGCAAGCAAGCAATGGGGTGTTGGCAAATGGAGGTCGGGAGAGAGAGGAGGGAGATGGATGGAGCCTGGAGGAGGAAGAGGACAAGGTCGAGTTCGTCCTACTAAAGTGGATTCACTCACACCATGTAGTTGAGCCAAGGCGCCAGATGCAATTTGGTGTATTCATCCATCTTTCTCTCTCCCAGACTAAGAAATAAACATTTTAGTTGTTGCAGTGTCTAAATGGTAAAGATGCATGCTTTCCTTAATAATGCTGGGCAAATATGAACATTGACGGTGTAGACCAACCAATACCATAGAAGAACGGTGTCCGTGGACAAAGTTTTGCCCTATAGTACAGTACTACTACAAAATTTAAAAATGATAAGAAAGAATGGCTAAATGACATAAGAGCATCTCCAAGAGTTTCCTAAATCTCTTCCTAATCCTTAGTTTTTAGCAAGATAAGAACAAATTCCTCTTCAACAACTCATAATCCATCTTCCTACGGCCTGTTCGGTTGGCTTGTGCTTGTCGTAAACGATCGTAAATTTCCAGCCGGAACAGTATTTTCTCTCACACCAAACCAGCCAGCAGTATTTCTTCACGAACCAGCAACGAACAAGCTCAGCCAAACGAACAGGCTGCTAATCTTTTAGAACTTGAGAAAAGTCACCCTGTTCCGCGTAAAGTTACGCGCTTCCGAGTCGCGTGTATCTTCTCTCCCCGCGCGTGTTTGTCGGCCAATCTAAAGGTGTAAGGGCGTGGAAAGAATAAAGAGTAGGGAATAGTTTCGGATACAAATGTAAAAGAGAGAAAGAATATATATAAAAGTGGTTAGGATAATTTAGAAATAGTATATGATTTCTAACGTAAAATTGTCTTCTATTTTAGGAGTGGATTATTAGAAACTCTCGAAGATGGCCTTCTTTATTCATTCGAATAGTTTTTTAGAGTTGTAAAATTCTATGTTTTAGGGAAGAAAATATTGGGTACTCTTGAAGATGTTCTAAGATGCATGCGTGAAAGAATAAACTTAAGACTTTTTTTTAGCATGAATAAACTTAAGACTTGATCAGCATCGCACGCCAGCAGACTGCCGGGGCAGCGCAAACCGCAGCAAACCATTTTTTCTTTTTTGTCAACAAGGAAACCAAAATTTAAGGGCCGTGGAACTAACGACGAAGAACTTTTCAGTGCCACACGATAACATGTATTTGTCCTCCACGTATATAAAAGACGAACTCGTGTTGCACGCATGTATCTAGGGGCTCTTTGGCAGGGCTCCTACAGGGGCTTTAGCTTCGGCTTTAGCTTCGGCTTCTGCAGGAGCTATGCCAAACGTCTGATTTGGAAAGGGCTCCGCATAGGGAGCCGGTCAAGAGTCGGAGTCATTTTTTGCCTGCGCAGGAGAGGCCTCAAAAACGAGGTTCGCACGACTTCTTGTTGTGGGTTCGCGTCGTCTAGTGCGAAGGAGCCGTTTTGCCAAACGTTTTCCAGAATGGCTTCAGCTCCTCTAGAGAAGCTGCTCCTTCAGAAGAGCCAGAGTCAGAACCATTTTCAGATGAGCCAGAGCCCTACCAAACATGCCGTTAAACCAAGCCAAAATCACATCTACATCTACTTTTATATGACAAATTGCAGCATCGATCTTTATGTGATTTGCAGCATATTTTCTCCCTCCTGGGTGAGGCGAGAAGGCCGACAGCTGCTTTGACGTAGATGATGCAATTAGTATCTTATAAGCCAAAGGAAGCACACTTGCTTCCTTAAAAGGAGTAAATAACAAATGGATTTGTTGGACCCAAGCGTCTCATCTCATCTATCGTCTATCTCTCTACTAATCGTTGATTAGTACGTGCACCATGCAGATGCATTTTTATAAGCGCAATGATTTTATATGGTTTCTTTTGCCGTTAGTCATAAACAAGTTGATTGTAGATAATGACCTCTAGGTAACATCGGTCTTTGTTGTCTGAAAGAAACCACCACTAATTTGTTGATTGATTACTCTCCCGCCGGCCGGCTCACCTAGCCTCTGCACAAGTGTCTGGTTCACATCCAACTGTGCTCGCTCTGAAGTCTGACCGTCGTTCTCACCTGTTCCCAAATCAACAACCTGTATGCTGTTCAGAGTTCAGACTAGTATATATGGGATTAGGCATACAGACTAACTTTAGAATACGTGTGCGGTGCATTATTGCAGACTTCGAAGAAGTGTGGTCTTTTCTTTTACTCATTGGAGTCTGTTGTTCATGTGGTGACTGGCTCTGGGTTTTTCAACAAAATTCTTGGGAAATTATGGTGTTCGCGATGTGTATGTATTTCTTCGGTACTACAGAAAAGTTGTCGGGTCTAGAAGTACTAAGTTTCTCAGGAGTTGGTGCTTACGACTGCCAGTCGACGTTCAACTCCAAGCGCCTAAGATGGTGCATTGACAAACGCAAAACACGGACTCACTGAGTGATCGAGGTACCAGTAGTCCAGAGAATAGCATTCGAGTGACCTGTGGATATGCATGCGTGGTTGCGTTGAGCGTTCCAGCGTCGTCCATGATTGAGCTGGAGTGCTGGTGCTACAAGCAGATCTGCACACCCACGTACTTGAAAAATGGCGGCAATCAATCTGTGTACGTGCGAGTACAAACATTACATAGACCAGGTCAGTCGTCCTGGCTTCTCATGCCTGGGCCACACTCGGAACTTGACTAACACTAAGATTTTACATGATTATTCCTCGCAAATTCAACAAATGGTTACGTAACCGTGGTTGAACGTTGAGACGGTTGTCTTAAATTCAACGACACACAGTAAGTATATGGCCATGCATCATGCATTCGGTTCACACACCACAGTCCACAGGCATGGCTACCTAAACTGGAAGACGAACAATTCTTCAAAGGAAATAGAAAAACGCCTAGTAGCACTAGATGCGTGTGAAAAGTGGAGGCCTTGCGACGACCTGCTCCCATGCACTGATGCATGCAATTGGCTCCAGACTCCAGAGGGTGTAGCCAGTAGGCAGTTGCCTAGCCACAGCCACAGCCACGGGACGGGAGGGGGCCGGGGACGACTTCTCTTAAGCCCTAGCCGGGTCGTCGTCCTCGTCCACCTCGCGCTGCCGCACACTAGAGAGTGTTTCCGCGTCCAGGAGCAGGAGCACGAGGCCCCCGGCCGGTGACTTTGGCGCGGCGTGTCACTGTCGTCGCGGCCTGTGCTGTGATCTGCGAAAGAGCACGGGGTCGCCGGCCGCTGGTTGGCGTTGGCGAGCGCGCCGGGAAACTGCGTCCCTGAGCGCGCATGCGCCTCGTAGTACTGTGCTTGTGCTCGACTGCTCCTGCTCGATCCTGAAAGATCTCTCCACCCACACGCAGCCCAGTCTGCGTCGCAGCAGTAGGTCCATAAATTGACGGTCCGTGTCAGTGCCCGTGCACCACGCTGACCTGATGACCCGCGACGCTGGCTGGACGGTGGGTCCGCGGCCGGAGGAAATCGGCGCCCGATCTCGCTGGCCTGCCCTCCGCTCAGCTGCAGCGGCGGGTCAGGTCAGTCGGTCAGGGAGAGGAGTCACTATCGTCTGCCCGTGCCTGTTGGTTCGTGCTTGACTGCTTGAGGACTGCCACATGCCGCCGCGCGCTGCTCGGCAACGGCAACGGCAACGGTACGTGGCGTGCACTGGGCGCCGAGCAGTGAACAGTGTGGTCATTAGTGTTGTACGGCAGCGTGCGACTAGCGGAAGGGGCCGATGGAACACCTGCGAATGAACAGAGCGTACGGAATAGCTGTTGTGCAGTCTGTCAGGTACTACTACGTATTTCTGACAGGAGCCATCACCGTGTTGAAATCTGGAGGCCAAAGGTCTGTTTAGTTCGACTTCAAAATGCCAAATTTTTCAAGATTTCCCGTCACGTCGAATCTTTGACGTATGTATGAAACATTAAATATAAATAAAAAATAAAATTAATTACATAGTTTAGGCGAAATTCACGAGACGAATCTTTTAAGTCTAATTAGACTATGATTGAACACAATTTACCAAATAACAACGAAAATACTACAGTAGCATTTCGCCAAAAATTTCGGCATCCAAACGGTGCAGGCCCAGGAGCATCAGGAGTACTGTACTAGGTGCATGAAACAATTTTCAAAAAGCAATATCGCCGCTCGAATCGCTGCTAATCTTGTTCTTTATTACAAAAGGAAGAAAAAGAAAGGAAATTGCAACGTGTTGCACCTGGCCCCGCTCCATCCAAATCTGCACGCATGAACGATGAAGGGCGAATTGACGCATGAGGAGGCAATCGTAATACTGGAGCCGGTATGGATGCTTCGCGGCCAATACCAACGATGATTGATGAAGTCCAATAACAGACTACCTGCAAATATACAGCTTGTTCGGCTGGTTTGCAGCCACAGCGGCTGCTGCTTCAGCTGGCTGTCTCCTATCTCACATGTTACTGTAGAGCTGCAGCCAGCCACAGTGCTTTACAAGTATCTCCAGATTTTGCAATGGCGATCGTGTGATTTATGCAGTCACTTGCGAGCTCATGATGGGAAGCTGGAAAGACACCAGGGGAGCCAGCAGTACTTTTTCACGAACCAACAGCGATACAAACCAACCAACCGAACGGACTCCATGCAGCCTGGATACATCGTCCCCGGTCCCGGAGCCGCAAGGTCCGATCCACGAGCGACAGCCAAACCTTAAGTCAATTGTGGCATGCAGGCCAAGCGTTGGTTGCGCGGCGAGACCCTGCTGCTCCCACGACTAGCCCTCTTCGACGCTGACCTCCGGCCTGCCGTGGCTCACACAAACTGAGAAGGCGTGCTCACCGCCATGCGGACACTCTTCTTGACTCTTCCAAGCCTGCTGCCGAGCTTGCATCGCGTGGACTGTGGACTGTGGAGATAGCAGCTAGCAGTGACATCTTGTGCTAATAGAGATCCCTGGCGCTGCATGTAGTATGCGAAAAAATTATTTTATGGAACGAAACGAATCAAAACATAATGATGCAATACAATACCAGCATGGAAACAAGTTATGCCTAATTCCTAATAACTCTGTCATCATGGAAGGCCTGACAGGAATATAAAACACGAAGTTGTGGTTGTGGCAAGAAGGAAACACAGATACATGAAAGGATTACTTAATGCTACGGGTAACCAGGCCCATCAATCTTGGGACTAAAAATTATGGTCACAGCATTAGCGCAAAGATGCGATGCATTTGCAGTAAGTGCCATGCTCACCTGGCAACAGTCTGAAGATGGTGGCATGGTAGACGTACGGCTGGCCAATCAAACGCCATATGGGTCCTGACCAATTCTTACAACAGTTGCTTCATCGCCAACTGTTTTCTGTCTGCAGATACTTGCATGATCATACACTGAAAATAACCAAAACAAAAAATATATGCATATGAGGTTCACTGGTAATCACCCTACATCAAGTGATTTCTCAAATTTTTTTTGCAATGTTCCTAAACGTTCTGCAAATCTACATGCCTTAAGTGTCAGCTTGATTTGAACTTTTGCTTTTGCTAGGACATACCTGTAATCCCCTCCTAGAAACTTATATTCCTAAGCTACAATCTGAATGTGAGTCTCCAAACTTGCTAATGAAATGCATTTTTCATAGCTAAAGCAACAAAATGTAGTTTGACATAGGGTGAGAGACAGACTAAAGCAAGCATCCTAAATTCAGTGTGCACCACAGAATCAATATATAGATTCTAGATGCAAGAACAATCAAAAGCATTCCTTTAATTTTTCTTTTTCTTTTCTTAGAAACAGGCTCAGCTCAGCTCAGCTTTTATTTCATAACAATGAACAGATTAACAGGGGAATACAAAGATGGTTAATGTCAGAGAGCTGTTGAGCAGAGGCATGTGCCATGGAGTTTGCAGGCCGTCACAACCAAGGCTGCATGGTTAAACCAAGTGGGTGACAAATGGGAGAAATTTCTTTACCAGGGTGCTTCTGCTTGGGAGCTGACAGAAGTTTCTGCTGAAGTCAAAATTCGCCTAGTGAAGTTCTTGCCTTTGGGGGAGGTGTTTCAAGAGGGGAAATGAGTTAGTTTTCTGAAGTTGGGTTCCGAGTGGGGGCATGTAATTGGTTTTTGAGCTCAGTGTGGTGTTTTCTGGGGAGATTTCTTAGTTGTGTGCTTTGTGGACTTGTTGGGAAGGTGTTATCCATCTGGATGCTGTAAACGGTTGGTCATTGTTACTGCTAAGACCGGGGCTCTGCCCTAGAACTCTAAAAAAAATGCAAAGTAAATATTCAAGGGGTGTCGATGCCTGACCTAGTTGATCACTTCAATTTCTTCCAGAATGGTGTCGATGCCTGACCTATTTCTTTCTTGTTCCTCACACCCGCCTCAACAATGTTCAGTTTTTTTAACTAAATTCCCCTGCAGCTTGTGATCCTACGCAGTTTTCACAGCATTCCTGCAAGTGAGGGCCTCCACCTTTGGAGCATCAGGAATTATCAAGCCACCATGAGTTAGCCTGCAAGAGGCCTTGCTGAAGTAGAAAATGACGACACCTGCTAATTGCTGCCCCTCTGGATAAGCTGGCGGAAAATTTGCTGTGTGTTAACTTTCCACCATATATCTGTGGTGGTTCTTGCTGCACCTCCACTTCTTGCTTCTTATTGTTGCTCGGCTTAGCTGCCATGCTCAGCAAGTCTGCAGCTGCACCTCATGAACTCATGTGACAGCAAAGCTCTGGCTTCCACTCCTAATCGCCATGCTTTTTTATTATTTCAGTTAGTCCAGATTGCTCACATTCTGCATAGAAACAAGCTGTCATCTCCACCGCACAATATTTGTCATGCAAGATATATTTCAAGCGGGTTCTTGGGTGTGGGTATAAATGCTAAATTATGTATTATATTCCACAGGACCCAGGATCTGTATATGCCACTTGTGTAAAGTGTGCTTAATTGGCTGGAAACCATGCAGCCATCTCAAGTAAAGACGCGTCTTTGGTGGTAAAGGTCTAACTCCATCGGGAGCTTCAAATTCTTTCACATTGGTTGATGGTCAGTCAAGGAAGGGGTAGCTCATCCCTAGGCTATTGTTGTCATTGCTCTGCAGCCAGAGCCAATAGGCCGAACAAACAGAGTAACAACCATGAAGCCCAAGCTGTGAAGTTATGAAAAATATTAAAATATATTTGGAAAATAACATAAGTAAACTTTCCACAGAAAGAACATTTTGATTCCTAGACTTAAGACAATTGGCTGCCCACAAATGCAGAATAATATCATTGCCTTTTCATACAATTGATTTATGGGCACCATGCCACCATGGCAAACCCAATCGCTTTCTACCAAACAAAAATTTGTTCAAGGGATTTCAAAACAGAGCGGCGGCATGGTGGCCTGGAGTGTCTTGCCTCTTGAGCCATGTGGTGGCTTCAGTCAGAGTGCAGTGTCTTACAGCGAGGCAGCTCATACATCAGTCTAGAGAAGGACCCAAACTCCCTATGAGCCACACAGGAGAGGATATTTCTTAGATACAAGATAGATTAAATGAGGTTTTGTTCTCTTTGAAGAGGATGAAAAGGTAGGGAAGGTGGTCCGTTAAGCATCAATCAACTTATTAATGGCATGACATTGACCACAGGTGTGGAGCACAGCCATTTGATTGCTTTCATGAATTGCTGTGATCTTTCAGTTCTGTCAAACATAGCTTTACAAGTGCTACAGATGGTAAAAAAGATTCTACAGGAAAACAATCTAGAAATAACAGCATGGTTGAATGTATTGTAGAAACAAATGGAGAAAACCTTTCTAAACATGAAACTTGGAAAGCAGGGAAATTTTCAGTGTGATGGTATAGGTCAAGTAACCTGAAGTTAAAACTGTTAATGTAACACTTTAAACAAAAGAAGCATTTTTAAAAGGCAGATTAATATCTTATCTGATTATTTGCGTAAGGCAAGGGCTAACCTGTATTGATTACACCCTCAGCTGTTGTCCATGGATTTAACTGCCACTTTTCAGGTTACTGCTTTCCATTCCTTGTCCATAGGATGGAAGTGTGGAAGTGGAGGAAACAAATGGAGCCAACAGTGTCCTGCACTAGGCAAGCTCAGAGCCATCATAGAGAAGTCCCTTCATCAAGTTAATAAATCTCTATGTGAAAATTATGTTACACCCTTCGCTTTCTGAGGATCATCACAATCATCCCTGTCATTGCCAATGCCCAAAATGCAACGCAGCTTGACATCTGGAGCAATGCCTGCATGACGCATACTCTCATACATCATACAAGCTTCCTTCTCATCCCCCGTTTTAAGGTATCCAATAATGAGAGCTGTGTAGGTTACTACAGTAAGTTTAAGCTTTCTTTTTTCCATTTCTTCCATCATCAAGCGTGCACCATCCATTGCAAGCACTTTACTATAACCATCAATCATACAAGTATATACAAAAGCATCTGGGAACACACCACTTCTTTCCATTTCTCTGAGCCATTCATTAGCAGCCTTCATATTTAAATGCCTACAATAGCAAGCAATGATAGATGTGTACAAAACATTGTCAAGTAACAGGTCTTCCCCAATCATATCCCTAATCAATCCCATAGCTTCAGGAAGTCTATCATCATTACACAGCCCATTTATGAGGCTAGAATATGTAAATGTGTTAGGTTTTACGCCTTCATCCAACATCTTACGGTACAACCTTAAGGCCTCCTGCAACTTCAGAGCTTTCACGAAGCCATCAATAATAATACTGTAAAGGACAACATCAGGAACATAGCCCCTCTTTATCATGTCTGCAAAAAATTTCCACACATCACTATATTTGTTGGTCTTGCAAAGGCCATTGATAATAACTCTGTACATGCAAAGGTTTGGGATGATTCCCAATGACTGATGTATTCTATCCAGGAATAGGAAGGCTTCACCACCTAGCCCTACTTTGCTAAAACTGTCTACTAGGATTGTGCATGTCACAATGTTGGGACTCAACCCATTTTCAAGCATGAGCTCAAACACTCCCAATGCATCTTGAAGGTTTCTATGTCTACATAATGCGTAGATCAGACTGGTATAATTGTAAACATCTGGAGCCATATCATGATGAATCATGTCAAACCAAAGGTCAGAGATGGCCTTGAGATCTAAATGTTGGCAACAGCCATGAAGAATGATGCTGTAATTTATCTGGTCATGCTCAAAACCTTGGTCTTGGAGGTTCTTGAAAATCTTTAATGCCAATGCAACCTGTCCAGTTTTGCAAAGGCCATGCAGAAGTGAACTGTAACTCACTTGATTAGGACGTATTCCATTTCTTGCCATTTCATCAAGCATGTCATAACCTTTCAATAAATCCCCATGCTTGCATAACCCATCAACTAATATGCTGTAGCTGTGGACATCTGGGACAAACCCACATTTCTTCATCCCATGAAACACTTCTATGGCTTTGTCAACCTGACCCTCGCTACAGAAACCATGAATCACAGCATTGAAACAATAATTGCTGCAAGGGCCTCCACTCTGAGAAAGAGTTTGAAGAAAGTCCCATGCAGATGTTACCTGACTGGAACGGCAAAGCCCATAGAGGTAAGTTCCATATGTTGTAGCGTTCGGTCTCACACTATTCGATTCCATTTCACAAAGAAGCTCAAAAGCTTCATCTAAGCATAACCTCTCTCCATGTGTGTACATACTCATCAAAATTGAATAAGAGCAGACATTGGGTGAAGGACCACAACTTTTCATGTCATCAAATAAACTCTTCGCATACATGATCTGATTCCCCTCGACTAAACACTTCAGTAAGAAATTGCACAAACGTCTGTCGACACCAAAGTTCTTGACCTCAACATAAGTGAGAAGAGCATCCTCAAACATTGACGACTCTACAAAAATACGGATGACTGCGGCATAAACTTGTAACAGCGTCATTGACTGACCCAAATTGCTGACCAACATAGGAGCCAACTCAAACAACTCTGACCCAGCATTTCCACAGTAATCAACAATGCTCTGAATCAAGCACCGGACCTCTCTGATTCTCCGCGGCAAGAACGCCTGCACAATCAAAGCAAACAAACCAACTGACTGAGATGGCCCGTATAACCTCACACACTCCCTGAAGCTTATATTTCTGGCAGCATCCCAGTTTGAAGCCCGCACTGCTAGTGTGATCAAGGGAAACAGACGACGACTTCTATAGTCACCATAAGCAGAACTCTGACTGGGCTCTTCATTATCAGAGCTATTCAACCAACAGACCTGAGAGGAAAGGTGCGACACTGGGGGATACCTCCTGATCACAAGGGCTCGGCGCAGAAACAATGGAACCGCCCGGCGCATAGACAAGGGATGCCGATCCTCTCCTTACATTGACAGTACCAGCAGAAGCAGGGATGAGCTGTGCACGAACTACACTTCATGGACCAATATTACTTGACAACAGGGTTCCAAAAAGCGGCACTAAGCGCACGCTTCAGCACGATGAAGCGCTAAGCGGACGGGTAGCGCTTCGCTACGGGGCATAAGCGCTCCCAAAGCGGCGCTACCGCCTTGGTGGAGCAGCGGCAGCTGGCTCTCGCTGCCCGCCGGCCGGTGTGCGGAGGACAGAGGCGAGGGCGCGAGGCGACTGGCGAGAGGCGGGAGGGGGAGCCGCTGACGCCGCTGACGCCGCTGCCGAGCCTGGGACTGCCCCGCCATCGCTGAGAGCCGAGCCTGAGCGCCGCCTCCGTGCCTCAGTGTTTGGGTATGCGGCGAAGCGTGGGTTTGTGCTCAATTAATGGGCTTTAAGACGGGTCACTAGATAAAAGCCCGTACCATCATTTTTCGCTTTTCTTTTTCATTTTTTTTCTTTCTAACATCTTTTGATTGTTCGCCTAAATGATCGTTTAGCCTATTTACACACCGTTTAAACGTTATACGGTGGTACACCATTTCCTTTTAATCGGTTGTTTTACCTGTTTAAATGATCGTTTTGCGTGAATAATGGGCTAAACGGCAAGTGGCCGACTATTTACAGTTTAGTATTTAGGATAACATCGAGTTTTGACAAATCAGCACATAATCTATATTTATCTCTATCTATATATCTAAAATAACATGTTATAGATTTATTTATATTTAACAAGCATAAACCTAAATAAAATCTATAACTAAGTTATACATGATCTAATGAGTATGAAATTTTTACTATAGTTTAAGCATATAATAATTAGTCCACCATAAAATTTTCACCACAATTGGACCATAGAAATTGCAGCTATGAATTATTCCATTTAATTACAGAAAATCATAGATCTAAAGCCACAGCAAAAACTTTGTACTAAAAACCATATTATATATTCACTATGTAGATCTACTCATGTGGAGTCCAACAAAATTGGATTTTCAATTTTATGATTTTTTGTGATTTACTATAATTTTTCAAAGATTCAACTGAAATAAATAAAAAAGAAAAAAAACAAAACCGCCTTCAAAACTGTTTATAACAGGGTCAGGCCGCCAGGGTGGTAAGATAAACGGTTTTAAAAGTTGAGAAAGGTTTTTTTTTCCGATTTTGAAATTCAGAGAAAAAAACGGGCTTTCACTAAAATTGAGTGAGGCATCATGTACTTTTTCCCATTCTGAAACAACGTGGCCCATGTCAAGTAGGCCCAGCCAAAGCTGTTATGGACACTCCCAGTACATAAACCACCGGATAGTTTCTAGAGCATGAGACACTGAGCCTGTCCGTTTGGTATATGATCGTGGATTATAAGGGTTTTTTTGGCATGGTTTATGTCGGCTTCGGCTTTATCTATTTTGCGTAAATCGAGGTATGGTAATGTGAAGTCGTTTTGTAAGCCGGGGTTAAAATGAACTAGAAGCCGGGAAAAGCCAGTTTTTCTGGCTTCACCGGCTTTGGCTTCACCGGTGAAACCTGTCGGTGTTTCGGAACCGGGGGTCCTTAACCGACTAGTGAATTTGTGCTGCGTGCTCCCAATTCCGGATGGTGATGCAAAGAGACACAAGGTTTATCTTGGTCGGGCAATGGATGCCCTACGTCCACCGAGAAGATGTTCTTGTATTCCTTACATCGGGTACTCGTAGTAGGGGTTACAAGCTAGGCGAGAGAGGAGTTCGTCCCAAGTCTCTCGTGAGGGGAGGTGATATGAATTACAGAATCGCGGCGTGTTGTTCGTGGCGAGTGTTTCGTGACTCTATCCGCCGTCCCTAGAAACGGTCCCGGCCGCCGCCTCCTTTTATAGCCACAGGGAGGAAATCGAGGAGTACATAAGAGAGCTACACGTGGAGCGGACTATTCGATGACGATGATTTACTCCTGGAGCAAAGATGGCGTTGTCGTGGGAGTTCCCGTAGATGTCTAATCGGTATGGTCTCCATCGCAAGTAACATGCCGCGCATTTGTTGACTTGGTGGATTGCGAGAGGCTCGGCGCCATCGTAGCCGGTCGTCGTCGAGGGCTCGCTGCGTCGAGGCCTGAGAAGTGACCCAGTGCGATGCGGGTCTCGGTGCCATCGAGCGGAATAGTGCGAGACGGGCGCCTACGGATACTGTACCAGTATTGTCGATGAGGGATGGTAAAAATGTGATCCGACCGTTGTCCCGTCGTTCTGTTGCAAAGCAAGACCGCCGATCGTGGCTTACGTGAGCCGGTGCAAATGGCGCGATAATTGATGCGACGACTGCTAGGGAGACCTTTGAGGCGGAGCGTGGCCAATTCATCCGAGATTCCTACCGGGGGTCTCGGGTGAGGCGACGGGCGGCGGCGAGTAAGATCGATGAATCTGAAGCCTGCCGAGGGGGCTCGGGCGAGCCGAGCGGTCGGTCCGTGATTCCGAGGCTATAGGAACCCGCTCGACTCTCCACATTATGATGTCCTTGGCGCAGGAGTTAGGCAAAGACAGCTGGTCGGTAACCCTTGCTCTGTCTGTCAGCAGATGGCGGAGATTGACGCGATCGGCGTGTAGTCGGTCACTACCAGATCAGGCTATCGTAAGGTCTGTCCGGAGTGGTTAGGCGCTTGATGCGACGTTCACCGAGCAGCTTTGGTCAAGAGGCGGTCACGGGCCGGGTGCCGAGCCGGCCTCGTCGAATCGGAGAATCGGCACTTTTTTCGAGGCCCGGCGAGGGGCCTCGACGAGGGGGCCTCAAGGCGGCGGTCTCAAAGTAGTCGGAGAATCGTTCGCTTCCGCTGGGGCTCGGCGACGGGGTCTCGGGCGAATTGGAGATTTCGGCCGAGACCTCGTTTGTTTATTCCATTGTGAAAGGATCAAGATGCCCAAGAGGGGGGTGAATTGGGCTAATTCTAAATTTTTTTACAATAATCAAATCCTATGGATAGCCCAATTAACCCCTTATGCCTAGAAAAGTGTTTATGTCAAACTAATGCACAACAACCTCGCAACCTATGTTCCAAACTTACTCTAGCAAGCAATTCTATGGATGTGAAACAAGTATTGAATTGCTCAAAGTAAATACTCAAAGTAAGTGCTCAAAGTAAATAGAGAGAGAAAGGAACGCGGCGATGTTTTGCCGAGGTATCGGAGAGTCGTCACTCCCCACTAGTCCTCGTTGGAGCACCCGCGCAAGGGTGTAGCTCCCCCTTGATCCGTGCAAGGATCAAGTGCTCTCTACGGGTTGATTCTTCGACACTCCGTCGTGGCGAATCATCCAAAATCGCTCACAACTTGAGTTGGGTCACCCACAAGCTCTGCCGGGTGATCACCAAGCTCCCAATCACCACCAAGCCGTCTAGGTGATGGCGATCACCAAGAGTAACAAGCACGAACTCTCACTTGACCACGCGAAGCCTAATGAGAAGATGGATGCACACTTGTCTACTCTTGATTCACTAATGAGGTTTCACTCTTGGATTCTCAAATCACAAACACCTCACTAGGACCTTGCTCTTCTTGGCACTCACAAACGTGTTTCTCAAATTGTTGAATGAGCAAAAGTGACTCCACACACGAGTGGAGCTTCTATTTATAAGGCACAATTGAAAAACGAACCGTTATGAGCTTTTTTATGGGATGACCGGACACTCGATCATATTGACCGGACGCCCGGCCGGTTCAACCCGCCTGCAATGCTTCCAAGTGATGACCGGACGCCGACAGGTCCGGTCCGGTTAAGACTTCACGACGACGCGTCCCGTCGATCTTGATGTTTATCAGAACGACCGGACGCCGGATACACAAAGGTCCGGTCACCACCGACCGGACGGACGCGTCCGGTCACACTTTCTCAAGTCTGACCCTTATCGAGTCGACCGGACGCTGGCCTTCAGCCGGTCACACATGACCTTCCAGTCATCCCGGTCCTCCAGACTTGATCTCCTCGATCAAATGAATCGACCGGACCTGCGGCCAGCGTCCGGTCAAGACCGAGCTGGCGTCCCAGTCAAGATTTGACCCTCCATTCACTTCCAACTCTCGATCATATGTGAATGAAGTTAGCTCCAAAGGATCTTAGGCATTCATTGGAGCTACCTAGAGCTAGTTTTAACAAGTGTGCACCACACCTAACTCACTAGACTCAACTAGGTCAAGCTACCCGTTCATACCCCCCTTCATAGTACGGCCAAAGGAAAAAATAAAGTCCTAAACTACTCTAAGTGTCTCTCCAACTTCAATTGACACTTAGAACTAGTTATCCTTAACCTTGTCGTCCATCCTTTGAAAACCGAAATGATTTCCATTGTAGGGGCATGACAACCTCAATTGCCCAATCGATCTCCATTACCATGACCTAACTTAATTGCCTCTGCAAAACACACATTAGTCATAGTAATCTTGTATTGACATTAATCACTGAAATCCACTTAGGGGCCTAGATGCTTTCAATCTCCCCCTTTTTGGTGATTGATGACAATACCTCCTCGAGTATGTTAAAGAGTGAGGTTTTTGAAGGGCTTGGTTCATATAAGCTTTTGTCGTTAAGATCAAAAGAGTTAGGCAAGCTTATATGACCCAAGCCAACACAATGTACTCAAAGGATATGAATTAAGCATGAGTACAAGTAACAAAGCTCATTTGCTTCGAAGTATAAACGCGGAAGCAAAAGCAAATAAGCATAACACAAGTGATATGACATATAGATAATGCAAAGTAGAAATCACACATGTCAAATATCACAAGCACGTAGATAGCACTATCACATATATATAATAGTATGCATGAAAGTAAACACACGAATGCACAAGTAATAGTGTATCACACAAATAGAACTCCAAATGTATATAATGGGATAATACTAGATAACTAGCTCCCCCTAAATGTAGCTCCCCCTGAGACTACATACTCGAACACCCTCTCCCCCTTTGGCGCCAAACACCAAAA